TTACTCACCCCCATGTCATCCAAGATGTTTACGTCTTTCTTTCTTCAGTCGAAAAGAAATTAAGGTTTTTGATGAAAACATTCCAGGATTATTCTCCTTATAGTGGACTTCAACGTCTACCAAACGGTTGAAGGTCAAAATTACAGTTTCAGTGCAGCTTCAAAGGGCTCTATACGATACCAGATGAGGAATAAGGGTCTTATCTAGCGAAACGATCTGTCATTTTCTAAAAAAAAAAAAAGTATATGCTTTATAAACAAAAATGCGGGCCTTGCACTGCTATGCGATGCGCGTCCATAACTTCACATAATACGAATTACGTTGAAAAGGTCACGTAGGCGGAAGTAACGACTCAGTCAGGTGTTTACAAATGTGGAGAAGGAGGACCGTTCAAAAGTTGTTGTATGTTCAATGACACACATTCAAATGTATTTGTGTCAGTTTATAGTTTAAAATGGTTACTTCGTGTGCGTATCCTGGATGTTTAAATCTTTTGAAACCTAACTTCCGCCTACGTCAAGCATGACCTTTTCAACGTAATTAGAGCAGTGTAAGGCATGCATTTTTGTTTATAAAGCATATCCTTTTTTTTTTTTTTTTTAGAAAATGACCGATCGTTTCGCTAGACAAGACCCTTATTCTTCATCTGGTACCGTGTAGAGCCCTTTGAAGCTGCACTGAAACTGTAATTTTGACCTTCAACCGTTTGGTAGCCATTGAAGTCCACTATAAGGATAATAATCCTGGAATGTTTTAATCAAAAACCTTAATTACTTTTCGACTTAAGAAAGAAAGACGTAAACATCTTGGATGACATGGGAGTGAGTAAATTATCATGAAATTTTCATTTGAAAGTGAACTAATCCTTTAAGAACCTGCAGGTTAAAGAAACATTCCCAGTTAAATATTGTTTATCAATGCTCTGTTTGTCACTACCACAGAAAATAATCAATTTGTTCTTTAATTTGTAACACTGAAAATGTGTAAATCTAGAAATGCATTCTCATTTCAAATTGACGATTTACAGATAGAGACTTTTATAGCTTAAATAACAAACACGGTTACATTTAATCTGGAATATTTCTTTAAAGGGGTCATATGATGCGATTTCAATTTTTCCTTTCTCTTTGGAGTGTTACAAGCTCTTGGTGCATAAAGAAGATCTGTAAAGTTGCAAAGACTAAAGTCTCAAATCCAAAGAGATATTCTTTATAAAAGTTACAGGGCCACTTAATATAAAGTGGGACCTTTATTTTATATGGTGAACTTCATTTTGACTGTTTGCAGTGTTTTCCACCGCCTCTCCTGTTCCCTGGCCTCCAGACATTGATGTCTCCAATGTGTTTTATTCAGATGAGGTCTACTGCTGTCCTTTAACTTTAATTCATAATCACAACACCCAAATGACAGACACAAATGTCCCCTTTGATGCCCTGTCACATGTAATCACCAATCTGAGAAAAACACAGAAAGGTCAGAGACACGGTGGCAGTGTTCAGTCTTCAACTATACTTTTTTATATATTTGTGGCTATCTTCATGACATTTTCGTTTATTCCCATTTATTCGTGGTTAGAAAATCTGCCGGAGAAACTGAAAAATTCTACTGACTGTAAGTTGACAGATTAAAGGTTTGTTCATCAGACGAGTCCAGATTATCAGACGCACAATGAAAGAATGAATCCTTATTATCGCCTTCACACTGAAACTAAAATATTGCATTATGGTCAATTCATTGTGTTTTATAGAGACTAGTTTTTGTTCACTTACCACTTTCATTTTTGATTTCATTTTTTCATATAAAGTTTTCTCAAAGAATAGCCTCTGTGTGGATCGTTTTGGTTCACAAATATTAGTTTGTGAATATTTGTGACCGTCTTCGTAGGATAAATCCATTAATTTGAAACATTTCTTATTTCTAATTACAAAATGAATGTAGCTGTGGCCACAGTAGTGATTCACACCTTTAGGTCTTTGATCATGTCTTCTTCGCAGGGACAAACACAACTATACAGTCCATCCTCATAACACAGAATCAACAAGTTATAGATCAGCAGTACTGTCAGTGGGCGAATTGTGGGTGGGTATCAAACTTACATCTTCAATATACACAAACATTCAACAGGACGCTAATTTTTCATTTTCTCTCTCAGTATAACACAATATGGTGTGAACAGTTGTATGTTCCCTGTTATGAAAGAGTTATGTTATGCACATTATGAAAGGGGACTATATTGGCCTATGATGCTCTTTACAGAGTTAATAGCACTTGGGGATTTCTTGACTTACAGCACTAAAGTCATCAAAGAATGTTCAATTGTAATAAATTTGCATTTTACTTATTGATGTGTTTTGTAGGAAACGAAACTACACCTACCTCATTCCCCTCAGTAAACACATCCCACCCAACATGCCCCTAACCCTCCAAATGAAGTGAGTAAAAGATTGTTGATACTGCACACAGTCTTCATTATACTGCACTCCAGGTTTCATAAGAGTTTAATTTTAAGCTCATTAAGTTTAAGTATTGGAACAAAGCCACAGCGCAGAACATTTACCAGCTTTAGACAGACACTTTCATAGGAAGAGTTCATCCAAAAGAAAATTCTGTCATCATTTACTAACTCTCATGTTCTTCAAAACTTTTATGTTGTTGTTTTTCCTGTGGAACTCAAAAGGAGCTGTTCTGAAGAATGTTCATAGTGTTCTTTTCCATTTTGACAGTTTATAGTGACCACATCTGTCAATCTGCATAAACCAGTCATAACAGTATCAAAACAACAATGTATGTGACTTGTGTGCTATATTTCAAGTCTTCTCAAGTTTTATGAACCAAATTCCTTTGTTCCTGGTTCCTTTGGAACAGTTTTGACATTAAACAACACTGGTTCTCATGTTTTGTATGACCAAGATGAGCCAGTTTGAGAATGACATTTGAGAGCTGCTGAAGAAGTGAAGATTTTTAAGAGTTTGATTTGAGGGTGAGTAAATTATGACAGAATTAGAATTTTTTTGGGTGAACTATTCCTTAATATCATTTTGAGCAGGGCTAGACCAATAAATGTGAACCATTTATCAGGTAAACAAATAAAGATAATACATGTATATATGGGCTTATATGTTAATACTGAGGTAATAAGACTAATTAAGTGAATCTAGTGTACTTATATCCAAAACAGGGTATTTCTCTGCTTAGACTCTGAGAAGTTTAAAAAATGGTTGGATGGATACACTCTAAAAAATGCTGGGTTAAATATAACCCAGCGCTGGGTTAAAAAGGGACAAATCCAGCTATTGGGTTGTTTTGACCCAGCGGTTGGGGTCAAAACAACCCAATATAACCCAGCATTTTTAGAGTGTAGTATATATGTATACTAATACATAAACTCACCAAAAAAGAAATGCTCTCTCACGTTCAACTGCTTTTATTGCTCATAAATTTCTTAACGTGCAAATATTTGTATGAATATAAAAAGATTCAACAACTGAGACATAAACTGAACAAATTTCACAGGCATTTGAAATGTGTGTGAATATATACAGTATATATATATACAGTATCTCACAGAAGTGAGTACACCCCTCACATTTTTGTAAATATTTTATTATATCTTTTCATGTGACAACACTGAAGAAATGACACTTTGCTACAATGTAAAGTAGTGAGTGTACAGCTTGTATAACGGTGTAAACTTGTGGTTTCAAGAAACCCATCACTTTATCTAAATTTTTCCATCCAGTTAGGCTCATCAGCCATAACTCCTTCAAAAACAGCTAGAATCCTTGGAGTTGTGATTGATGATAAGCTGAATTTCTCAGACCACATTGCTAAAACTGCCCGGTCCTGCAGATTTGCTTTATACAACATTAGGAAGATCAGGCCCTTTCATTCAGAACATGCAACACAACTCCTTGTTCAAGCTCTTGTTCTATCCAGGCTGGACTATTGCAATGCTCTCTTGGCAGGTCTTCCAGCCACTTTCCATGCCGCTGCAAGATTAATCTTTAATGAGCCGAAAAGAACGCACGGCACACCTCTGTTCATCAATTTTCACTGGCTACCAGTAGCTGCTCCCATACAATTCAAGGCATTCATGTTTGCCTACAAAACCACCACTGGCTCTGCACCCATTTACCTAAATTCATTACTTCAGGGTTATGTACCCTCTAGAAACTTGCGTTCTGCAAGTGAACGACGCATTATTGGGCCATCTCAAAGAAGCACAAAATCACTTTCACAGACTTTTTCATCAACTGTTCCCTCCTGGTGGAATGAAATGCCCAACTCAATCCGAACAACTGAGTCCTTATCTTTATTTGACCCTCTAACTCTAGCACTTTCTATTCTTTTTAAAATCTACTTGATCTATTTAGCTTTCTATTTTTTCTATTCTATCTACTTGTTTTTCTTTGTATGTGTGTGTATGTAAATATGTATGTGTATGTGTGTGTATATATATATATATATATATATTGTGTATA